AAAACCTGGCGAGCTAACCAGGAGGAATTGTCTCGTGTTTGATATTTCTGCTATGTTTACATAAGGTACTTTATCATTATTAAAGTTTTGATTCTTGTACAAGTGTTGAAAAATGGAGGTGTTTTGGAAAGTGGTATCAAAATTTCAAATGCTGTGCTGGTTGTAGGCATAACAGAGGAAGTAGGGGAAGAAGCAATTGATTTTCTTAAACACTATGGTTCAATTAATTCCACTCAACTTATTTCCAAACCACAGTCTGATTTTGATGGTTCCCTTGTTGTTGAATTCACTAACGCTTGTGTTATGGAATCCTTGCACCCAATTTTGCTGTATACAATGACAAATAAAGAAAGACTTTATATTTCAGAATTATCTGCTTTTTCTACGGAACTTTTTACAATATTTTAAAAGCTTAGCTAAAATGACTGGTGTAGATTACATTCAAGTTATAAAATCAACCATGATTGGATTGTCAGTCATGGCATGAGCAGTCACTAGCATGAGCAGACTATGCATGAGCAACACCAGCTCATGCAGAGTCTGCTATATCCTCTGAACCAATGCCACTTTCACAAGCCATCTCAAGGAACTGCTACTTCCAGGTAAGCTTATGAGCAGAACGCTAAACCAACAACTCTTGCATTGCAGCGGTGGGTGACGAACCTCTTCCATTATTGATGTTTATCCACCAGAGGTCCAGCGTTAGTAGTATGTAGTGGATCCCACAATCTCACCATTACACCCATATGGACATATACAAGCACTTAGCAGAGATGCACACAGAGGCAGACAGTATATTCTTTCTACATTGCAGAAAACATAAAAGCAATGTTTTACTCTGACAGAAGAATGTGGGCCAAATCTGAGTCTTGTAATCTTTGTCATCAGCGGTTCTGCCATCCATGTGGGCATAATGTACTCAGATGAAATCTGTACCTTTAGTGTGACTGAAACAGTAATTTATTCCCCTATGCTGAAGAAATAGCTACTGTATTACTCTAATCCAAGGGTTAGGGTTAGCCAAAAAGCCAAAAAAAAGCACCCGCTGCAAAGTTAAGAATGTTGTAAACCCTGCATGACAGCGTCTCCCTGCACACCAATTGAAAAGATAAAAAAATCAGCTGTGAAGCAGATTACATCCTTAATGGTTTTTTTCAGCTTGAAATGCAGTTGGCCACACACTTTGTTTCTCACAAAGGGAACCTATCAATTTAATTCAGTTTATTTATATAGCGCCAATTCACAAGACGTGACAAGATAATTCAACGAGATCATAAAGTCAAACTGATATAAAGTTTTCTATCTAAGGAAAACCAGCTGATAGCCTTGAGTTATTGACTCAAAGGCAATCCCTTACACCAAGCATGCTTGTAGCGACAGTGGAGAGGAAAAACTACGGTGGCCCTGAAGTGCAAACTGCAACTACAAATCTAAAAGCGCAACTACATTAAGGAAATCGCAACTACATAAAGCAAAGCGCAACTAAATTAAGCAAAGCGCAACTACATTAACAAAAACAAAACTATATAAAGCAAAGCGCAACTACATTAAGGAAAACACAATTACATTAACCTACCGGAAAAGGTAGGTACCAGTGGGAACCATGAGACATTGCTGATTAGGCGACGGCACCATCTGACCTTTGAACCGGAAGTCATTCTGCCTGCTGCGGCTTTTGAAAACATGGATATTGTCGGCGCCCCAAACATAGCTGCCGTTATCCAGGAATATTTTTAATCAGGACATACGTACGAGGTGATACTGGATATGCTCAAGACTAATCACCAAATTTCAGTTAGTTTGCGTACACTGAAGACACACTTAAAAGAAGCTGGACTGTTCAGACGATGCAACTTCCGGTTCAAGGGTCAAACGGCGCCGTCGTCCAATCAGCGATGTCTCATGTTTCCCACTGGTACCTACCTTTTCCAGTAGGTTAATGTAATTGTGTTTTCCTTAATGTACGTAGTTGTGCTTTGCTTTATGTAGTTTTGTTTTTCTTAATGTAGTTGCGCTTTGCTTTATGTAGTTGCGATTTCCTTAATGTAGTTGCGCTTTGCTTTATGTAGTTGCGATTTCCTTAATGTAGTTGCGCTTTTAGATTTGTAGTTGGAGTTTGCACTTCAGGGCCATAGTAAAAAACTCCCTTTTAACAGGACGAAACCTCCTGCAGAACCAGGCTCAGTGTGAGCAGACATCTGCAGAGGTCGACTGGAGTTCAAAGAGACAGAACCAGAGATACAGAAAGAAGCAGACATACAAAAGGCAACTGTCAACCTTCTCCACAGACGGCCCCTTCCAGGAAACACACAGCGAGGCAGAGAAGCTCCCAGCCAGCCCCCCATGTCAAAGGTCAAAGTGAGCACATCCAGCTAGTCACAATCAGGGAAACAGGACTAGACTGAAAAACAGGCAGAGCTCAAACATCTATGAAAAAAGGCACTGATGGCCGCAGCCTAGCTGATATTTCTCTCCAGGATGGCGTCACAGCCAAACAGGAACAGACCAGATTAAGCTACATGATAAAAAGCAGATATAGAACAGCGTTAGAGATTAAACTAACAAATTCTGAGTGAGAGAATAGAGATAGAATGAAGCAGAATGATGAAAATGGGACCCTATGTCCTCTAGCAGACTAAGCCTATAGCAGCATAACTATAGAGATAGCTCAGGATGTTATTCTCTGTTTCTTCATGCAGTTACTTTCCTCCTGTTGCAGTTCTGTACACTCAGGGAGTGGTAAGTTAGCGTCACACCGGCAGCAGGCAGGTGGCTGCATCTAGGGGAAATATTACAAAACCCAGGACTATGTGTTTGTTGTTTTTTTATGAACATTTATTTGACCGGGTCTTTTTTTAAACTCTTTTCAGTAAGGTATCGGCAATGGTCCTGACAAGTCTTTTTCAAAGAAAACTGAGCCTGCCCTGTCTCAGACCGAGACAAGACAGAGTAAAAATGACGACAATACCCTGATAAAATTAATAACTTAAAAATATGGTCTAGAGACCAAGACCAATCTCAAGTACTACAACACTACCATATATGATTGCACAGTATTGCAATCTTACTTCAAACTATGCTGATCAACTCCTTTTTCAGTTAAATAATCTACTCATTACTAAACATTTCAGTTTTACCTGCAGACTTGCAGAAAATATTTTGTTTTAGCTAGGTTTAGAGAATTTGAAAATGCAATAAGACTAGAAAGTCTAGATTATTTTCTGTCTAATGTCAATGCAATGTGGTAGACTTCTTGATTTCTGTTACGTTTTATTTTGAATAGTTCTTAGATAGCTCTTATTTTAGAGAAATCCAGGCACCTCAGCTTACCTAATACTGGTAGTTTAAGTTACATCATTTTATGAGCAGCTTTTTAAAGGTGCTAATATAAACCAACAGGATCTTAATAAAGGAACATTATGTAGCCCTTTTAAATACATATTCAACTACACTGCATTTCCCTCTTTTCAGTCACATGATTTCTGAATTGAAAATTCAGAAACATCGAAGCCCTGCAGATAATGGGTTCCAACCTCCATGGAAAAAAATTCCTTGTTGTTCATTGTTCCAAATGGTTTGTTGGTTCTTCTTCTTAGGTCATACCTGAAATCTCCCTAATCTCCCTCATGCCACAAGATTAGCTATTACTAAGTAAGATCCTGTTCTCTGCTACATCAGATTATTCTGACAGTCACGCTATAAAGAGGAACCTACGCTCATAAGCAGCTGTTATGGGAAACTTTAACAGTACCTAATCATTCTTACTTCATGCAACACAATGAAAGTATTTGGTCTGTCTGCCGCTTCTGTGCCTCCAGATTCCAGTTACAGATAAGGACGGTTCAAGGATCAGTCTCTGGCATCAATTTCCTTTTGGAAGAGTTATAACTAGGGCTTGACATTAACACCCGTCAACCTGCAGGGTTGAATTCTATATGTATTTTAAATGATAGTTTCTCCAAATAGCATTTAAAATATTAAACAAATTAAATTGAGAAACTATCGCACCACAATTCTCATCACCACACACCTGTGCACCTGTGAAGCAAAGGAGGGATAATGTTGCCGTACATTCAAGATGTCAGAAAATCCAGAGAGCAGGAAAAAAGGAAAACTGACAATGAAAAGAAGGGAGGCAAAAAAAAAAAGGTGTTTAATGAAAAGTGGAAGTCAGCAGGCCGAGATTGGTTGTTTATGACCTTGGGGGGGGAAAAATGTTTCACTTGTTTCTAAAGGGGTGTTTGAAAATTGTTTTTATGTGTATTTTTGGTTTCTAGTGGCAGCTACTACTATGCACTGCACAATTGGGTCCATGACAAATTTCCTTTAGAGGACAATAAAGTATGTTCTGTTCTATTCTATTCTATTCTATTCTATTCTATTCTATTCTATTCTATTCTATTCTATTCTATTCTATTCTATTCTATTTTCTAGTTATATTCTAGTTTCACTTTTACTCCTTTCAATCAGAATCATGTCAAAGCTCATATAAAACCAAATAAAAACTATTCAAATCTTCTTTTTTATGCTGTTCCACATTGTAATTCCATAAACCTGTTTTGTTTAATGAACCGAGGTCTGTTTTTGAGTTTTTATTTCCATTTTACAAGTTTTCGGCTAGATTGTACTATGCGGGTTGCTGATAAAATCATTTCAAAGTCGTGTTTCGGAACCTCCCTGATCTAACAAAAAGATTACATAAATTAGAAACACAATAAAAAGGGTTAATTCCTGTTTAATAATCGAGTAAAGTATTTTTTATGCATATTATTTTTGATCCCTCCAACAACAGCAGAATTCAACTTTGTTTATGAGACAGGCAGCAGAAAGCAACCAGAGAATATTAGCCTTATGGTTTTTTTAAAGTTAATGAAATACAGAAGGAGAAAATGTCTGCAGTCCATTTAATCAAACCATCATCTGATGAATGCTTAGTCACAGGTTAGGCAGCATTTTTTTCACTTCAGGGAAAGAGTATACTACACAGATAGATTGGTTTGCTTCAGTCTTTTAAGCTCGGAAGAACGTCTCCTGAGAGCTGGTGTAGTGAAACAGGCTGGATCCAAATATACGGTAACCAAGACAGGTTAGTGATGTTTGACAGTTTATTTAAGAGGTTGCTTTGAGAGCGGGACTGAATCTGAGTGGAGCAAACAGGCTACAGGCAGACAGGCTGGCATATTGTGTGAAGTTTACCAGTTCATGATCCAGGAGGGGAAGGCAGACAGTTAAGCGGAGCTTCTCCGAGTTTGTGATCCAGAGATCTGTCTTCAGACAGGGGTCAGGCAGGCCGACCCCTGTCTGAAGACAGATCTTGGATCAGAAGACAGATCGGGTCAGAAACGGGTAGACAAAAGATATTTCTTGAGATGCTGGACTATTCTTACCGGGTTGGCACGAGATAATCTGGCACTGGTGACTGGTCTGATGGGGTTTATATACTGATGGAAACAGGTGACTCCGGTCAGAGGTGATTGTGGACGGGTGGAGCAGAGCAGGTGTATGGACTGAGGCCAGAATCAGTGCAGAGACCATTACAGAACCCCCCCATCTCCCCACCCCCTGGTGGTGGGTACAAACCTTGAGTCTCTGCCAGCCTGACATGGGAGACGTGGAATGTGGAGTGAATCCTCTTCGTCTGAGGTAGGCAAAGACGGACAGCCACTGGATTGACCACCTTGGAGATGGGGAAGAGTCAAATTAACCGAGGTGCCAGCTTCTTGCAGTCCACCTTTAATGGTAGGTCTTGGTAGAGAGCCAGACCCTGTCTCCTGGTTGGTAACACAGGGCTGTAACCCGCCGGCGATTAGCATTCTGGGCCTGGACCTGGGATGAGTGGATAATGGCTCTCCTTGCCCTCCTCTAAGCACGCTGACATCTGGGGTTGGACAGACAGGCTGACGGTACTCTGGACTCCCTCTCCTCAACAGAGAATACTGGTGGTTAGAACCAGTACACCACGTAGAAGGGCAAGAGGCCGGTGGAGCTGGAAGGAGTGGAGTTGATAGCGTGTTCCACCCAGGGAAGGTTCTGCACCCACCTAGTAGGGTTGGACTCACAGAGGAGACGAAGTTTATTCTCAAACTCCTGGTTCATCCTCTCTGTTTGATCATCTGTCTGAGGGTGAAAACCAGACGATAGGTTAACAGATACCCCTAACATTAAGCAGGACTCCTGCCAATAATGGGCCACAAACTGAGGACCTCTGTTGGACATTATTTCAGCCGGCAGTCCATGCAGATGGAAGACCTCCTTAGCCAGGATTGTGCCCATTTCCTTGGCAGTTGGGAGCTTAGGTAGAGGGACCAGATGGACCATTTTAGAGAATCTGTCTACGATGGTTAGATGGGTGGAGCAGGGCAGGTGTATGGACTGCGATATTTAACTAAAAAAGCAATAGAGTTTCTGCAAAATACTTATATTTAGTGTAGGAAAGATCTAACCGTAGGGTCAGTGTGACTTTACAGAGAATTAAAGTTGTATACTTTTATGGGTAGGTACACAACAGAGCGGCCGGGTGGAATCTGATGCCGCAGACTCTAGTTGAAAGTCATGGGCGCTGACCAGTCAGCCAAATTTCAAATTAGATTTTCTTCAAATTTTAGATTTAAAAAATTCAACCATGAAGTTTGTTTAGGGAAGAACACTGTCTTCTCTTAAAAGACAATGAAATAATGTTAAGAGTATTCTTTATTGAATTGTATTGAATGAAAAAACAAACTGTTTGTTCCATTCTGAATAATCAGCAGGAAAGCCTGTATTAGTATTAACAAGAATTTTATCTTTTGTTCACTTCATATTATTTTTAACTCACATTTTTTAAGTCAGTAGAAAAATTTTGACTAAAGCTGAAGTCATAAAGGATGTTTTTTCTGAAATGTGGCTAACACACAAACATTTTGTGCATAGTTCTGTTTAACTTATGTCTCCATTTCTTCTTTTATTCATTGAAATTAGATATTTACATTACTCTATGTCAATATTTGCCACTTGTAAGTCTTAATCTACCGAAGTTCATAACATAATTCAAAACAATATGAGAAAAACAAATACATTGCAATGGACAAATAATAATACAAAATGTCAACTGTTTAAAATCTTTTTGTTTCTTTGACTTAACAAGCCATGGGGTGGTGGGAGGAGGGCATATTTCAGGGCATATTTTAGATCGTCCATTTGATCAAATCCACAATGAACGGTTTAGGTTTGCGTTGGTTTAGAGACCAGCTCATATGTTTAAAAATATCCCTGTGAATATTTGCAAAAATTTTATAAATCAAAATTCTGTTCATTTTGTTAAGTTTATTTAATGATGATTATAAAATTTATGTGTGTGCTTATAAACATTGAAGAAAGGAGATGCTTCACTCTGTCTTATGATTCAGTCAGTAGAGCATCCTGTCTTATGACCTGATCAATTGTCCTTTCAGAACAATACTCTGTTTGTAACCATGTGTTATGTTCTGTTAATAAAAGACGAATGCAGGAGGGGGGTCGTTGAAAGAGCTGGAAGTTGGGTTGGGCTTTTGCCACTCCTGCAGGAGTTGTTTGAATCTCTTTCCTGTGTGGACCTAGTTTCTCTTTTACAAACCTACATTTTTGAACCTAACACATTTCAATTCACTAATATTGTAAAAGCTCATGGAGTCAAACATTAACCTGCTTTTCAACTAATGTCTGTCATGATCTTAGCACTGATGCCTGGGCTGATTACTCATTTCAAACATCTGCTTAGCTCCACCCAGTTCTCATTACTGAATTAGACTCTCTTTAACCAGTCTTCAGACCAGTGCCAGATTATTTCAAGCTGTTGGAGAAGCGTATTCTAGTGTTCGTGTGTTCTGACTACCTGATCCGGACCTGTTCTGGCCCTCAACCTCTGAGCTGCCTGTACCCGTCTGATTTGTTTGCCTGACCTGTCTTCTGACTCCTGCCTGGTCTCTGCCTGCTCGTGTACCAACCAGAACAATTTCCCGACCACTGAGTCTGCCTGCCCTAGCCCGCTGGTGTTTTTTCTTTGTGTTTCTGAAAGTACAGCTGCATGGTAAATATTTGTGTTTAAAGAAGCTTTAGGAAACCTGCATCATCTTCCAACATGTCAACTGTTTTTTTGCATTGCACAGTTTTTTAAATTGTTTGTTTTGTTTTGTATATACAGAAAACATCAGAGCTCACTGTATTTTTCTTGATCACACAGGATCATATTTGAATTTGTTGCTGAATTTTAAAATGGAAGGAAAACACCAGCAGATAGATTCAAGAAGTCACATATGTGATTGCTCTAATAGTACCCATACTTGTAAGAGCATTTATTTTTTATTTTTAAAAATCTAATATCTAAGCCTTAAAATCACCAAAAGACACTTTATCACTTTGATAAGTCTGTATTCTGCTTTCCTCTTCAGGCTGCCAAGGCAACTGGTGCTGCCCTTACCCTGTCGCAATTAATAGAGGTTCTGCTGTCATCACCGCCCAGCCCAAACCTATGATTAATGTTCAGGCCAATCCAGTCATGGTGGTTAATCCTGCTCCTCCTACTAATGGTTGGGGTGGGCAGTTTGCTAATCAAAGCTCTGCTCCATTTCCTGGGGGTTTTGGGGGCCAGTATGTTAATCAAAATTCTGGTCCATTCCCTGGTGGTTTCATGGCTCAGAATTCACAAGGAAATGTGTTTGGAAACCCTCCTCCATATCCTGGTGCATAAAGCAGTTAAATACTGTACAAACAGTATTTGGGTTCTCATATTATCTATGATGATGTTGGTTTATGATGAAACGTATTTACTCATATAGAAAACTTAATCTATTTTCAGTACTTCAATAATAATTATCAAGGGCCTGATTTCAAATAATGGGTGTTAAAATGCATATGTAAGAGTTTTTCTTTCTTTTTTTTTTTTTTTTGCACATGCAACAGGTAGGAATGTTAAAACTGATCTACAGATTTCTCAAAGTTATGTGCAAAATGGTTTGGCTCTGCCACATTAAAATAAGCCAATTGTGTGTGCTAGAGGTAGTCTGAGAGAGACCATAAAAACAAAAAGCCTTGAAGTTGGAGGGGATTATAAAAATTTGATAATTTAAATGAATATTTAAATAATGGAGCCTAGGCGGAAGTTTAACTGAAGAAACTGATTGCTCTCCTTCATCCACCTGCGGCACAGTCAGTTAGCTTTGAACAACACCTCCACGAAAGCCAATCGGGATCCAAAGTTCATCTTAAAAGGTCTCCGATCCGCTTGTGTTCTCCTGTGCGCAGGCGGTGGATGCGATGTGTGACTTCATTCAGATGACACCTTCTCAACCCACCTCCAGCCCCTCCTCCACCATTGTAGCTAAAGCTTCATCAGAGTATCATTCCTCCTGGACTCTTACTGCGTTCCACGTCTCATTTCAACTGGTCCGGCAGAAGACCGCCATGTTGAGTCTGGTTCTGGGAGATGTTTCTTCCCAACAGGAAGTTTTTCCTCTCCACCGTCACTTCTAGCTTCCTCATCATGGACAGGTTCTCTCAACCTGTGTTATCCAAACTGGACTTCCCTCTTCCAGGTCCCTGAGTGAAGCTCTAGTATTAGCTCACGCAGTCCACTGGATCTCCCCATAAAGCTCAGCAGACCGTCTCACTAACCAGCAGTCTACAGACTGACCAACTTGATCTATCTCCACTCCACCACCAGTTTCAGAACCTGACTCTGCCAGATGGATTTGCTCCGCATGTCCATCTGGAAACCTTCCGTTGAAGTAATTTTGGGAAGGGGCGAAAATACTGGTTAGCTGATTGGCCTATGTTGGTGATAGACGGGCCAAATAAACCAATCAGATCAACGAAGCATATGACGTACTAACAGAGCGGCGACGAAAACACAACCACAAGCCAGACACAAGCCAATTGATAGATCAATCTCTTGCCGAAACCAGTCGGGAGAAGAGCAAAAACATCTTTTCCTCTGAGAAAAGCCTCCAGAGCAGTGTTTTGCTCTTCTTTCAGTGAAGAAATACTCTGTAATTCCGATAGAACTTGCTCGATAGCCACGCTAACGCTAGTTTCATCGGCTGAAGCCGCCATGTTCTTTAGACTGAACTGTCGCGCTTCTCGTTGCGTCACACCTCAACCCGCCTCAAAGCCAACGCTGATTGGACGTTTGTTTGGTGAACGGCTCCAAATTTTCTTTAAAGGAAAGTAGCCAGACTGATCTGCGAGTGAAACCTTGAAAGCTCGCGAGATCAGGATGGTCTCACGAGGCTAGCAGTTTCAGGCCAGGGGAGGAAACAGCTCTGTCTTTGCTCCTGTTCATGCATAGCTATCAAAATTAACTCTATGTTTCCTGCTGAGGTCTGAGCGCCAAAGACAAAGTAATTGTATTAATACATTTATCCTAATTGTCTTTTGTCCTTGTGTTTATTTCTTAGATTGAAATAACAATGATAATAGAAGATATCAATTATAGTGCACTTCATACAGGCAACAATAGTCTAATTTAAGCAGTGTATGCTCTGAAGAGCTGGATTAATCTACACCAATGCCTATTAACAAAAATTTCTTTCAATTTGACAAAACCTTTGGCTCTGATGTAACTCCATACTTAACAAGGTAGGCCAATAAATATGTAAAAACACTTATCTGTGCTTCGACTGGAGCCTCTTAAAGAGCTTTGAGCAAGAAAACAGTTTTATCTTGTTTTATAATACAATATTGAAATTCACTCTTTTTTTTTTCTCATTTTGGTGGAGTAGTATACTTTTTTTTTTGATTCTGTATCAATTTGTACAAGCCTGTATATACATTTTTTTCTTAATTAATATTATTCTTGTATTGTTATTTCTGATGGTTGAATTATATTTTTAAATATGCAAAGAATTTCTTTCCATCCTCTGGCATTGTACCAATGCCTCCTTTGTAGCAATATCAAGGATAAATGTAGATATTGTTAGGTTTCAGTTTGCAATAGATTTTCAGATGTGCAAAAATGAAGCAAAAACCTCTAGTTGTGTTTGAGTTTCAGATTTGAAAAATTACTTTGCATGTTGTAAACTTTCTAATTTTTAATATCTTCCATCCATGAATTTGCATGGTTTAGTCATTATATTATCATTTGCATGTTTACTGTATGAAGGCCGCTATTAAGAAAAAGGTCGCAATCGATTGCAAATGCAAATCACTTTCTGCCTTCTTTGAAAATTTGCTCTGCATGTAGAAATATGTTTCATTGTGTTCTAAGATAAGCAAACTCCTGGAGATCAGGTCCTATGGATTTAAAATTTATTCTGGTACTCATATGTTAAAGCACTTTATTATAAATGTAATAAGAGGATTTGATTAATTTATAATGACAAAGGATCAGGATCAATTAATAAAAGAACCCTAATCAACAACAAATTAGTGTTTTTAGCGTTTTTTTTTTTTTTTTTTGGCTTTGACTGTGTCCCAAATTTTACACTACTCAAATTTAACAAACTATTAAATATTTTACTGTCATTTAGGCAAAATACCATTAATCAAATCTGTATAAGTATACTGTGAAAACAGGCATTATTTTATTATTAATCAAACTATTTTCAAGTTTGGGGAAGTTTTTCAATTTATGGTTCGAAAAAAAGAGAATTACAAAGTCGTTTAACCTGGTCTGTGGAATAACAGAACAGAAGGTCTGTTTTGTGGTCCTAAATCCTCTACTCAGATTGAACATTTTACATTTCACTTGAAAATCAATAACTGCAATTCCATAGAGAGAGATAGGATAGGCAAGCTACATAAGATCCAAAATGAAGCATTCACATTCATTGATACTGAGATCCAGATCAGCTAGTATTGTTTTATTGTACTTGATTAAAAAAAAATGCATTGCAATTGCTAGATGCACATTTTGCCTCTCTCTGTCATGGTTTGAGTGGAGGATTTTGAGGACCCAAGTGCAGAAATCAGGAGGCAGAGGTGAGTCTTGCACTGATGTCCTTTGTGGGTGACAAAGGGCTTCCCAGTTTGTAGCTTCAAAACAACCTTACAGGGCTTATTTAGCTTCCTGTGAAAACCTTTTTACTATTATCTTTAATGCATGTTGTAAAGGGAGCTATACTCTGAGCAGAGGAAAACTAGATGTAGTGAACTTTCTAAAGAGGAACTCTCCGTTTGGAGACACATGATACTTTATTTTGGTTAAAAAAAAGTCTCAAGTTTTGTTTTTTGATACAGCTGCTGAAAAATGTTGTAATGTTGGCAGTGTAGCAGTGAGTGAAGCATGATTAAAATCACCAGTTATTGCCGCAAATTAAACTGGCTAGTCCGCTGAACTGGGATGTGAAAAACTGTTTCCAACAATTTATGTATGTGATTAATTTTGTTTTCATCAATTAAAAAGGACATCAAAATGTTCTCATTGTCCTGAAAATGATGTGGGCTAAGTTAATAATTGGCAATTTATTTTGAGGAAGACCTGGTGTGATTCAGAGAGATGGCATCCTTCCCACTATGGATGGGGCAGTCCCAAATATACCTGTCCTCCAAAACCCTAAAATCCCAGATTGCAGACCAAGCGGAGTCATAGTTTAACACAGCTCTCTGCAGCTTCTCTTCTGTTAACCAACCATCAATCCATCCAGACAGGGTCCTGCTCAAAGCCAATATATAACCGATTTGAAGAAAAAATTTTAAGGACCCACATTCATATCTTCAGGTAACATAGACTACATGTCAGACTTAATAATACTACTTCAGGGATAGTTTCAAGGTGTTGCTTTATTGTATGTCTCGTACCATGTCTTTCGGTTGTGCTGTTCTTTTTTCATCTCTTTGCAGGTGATGAAGCAGACTGAAAATGTTTTGTCATTGTCTCCTTTCTATCTCCTCTTTCTTTCATCTTTTCTCTTTTTTTTCTTTTTCTTCTTCTGTTTTTCTGCTCTACCTACATTGCAGTGTCAATATAAACTGTAAAACTCCCTGCATAATTATAATAAAGCAATTTATATGCATGAAACAAGTGCAGCAATATGGCAATTGCCGTACTGCTACACTTGTGAAAGTAAAATCTTTTGGGCTCTTTTTGGTATCAAGACAATTATTCTTATTGCCACATTGCCAGACAGGACACTGTAAAAAAAAAAAATTAAAGCTGGTTTATTGAACAGATCTTTCCGTTCAAAGAGTTTGTTAGTTTGTGATAATCAAATTGATTTATGTTGTCTTACATAAATTCAGCAAAAAAAAAGAAGAAAAAAAAAGAGAGAATTATGGTAGCAGAAATGAGGCAGCTCTGTCAAGCTGTTTATATTTTTATATAGCCAGAAATTCTGGGAAAAGAGGGGGAGCAGAAACAGTCTTTCTGTCTGATTTATTGTTTGAAAGCTAGTTAATAGTTGTTTTAGAAGACATGTAACTTGATGATGGTAAGCAGAGTCTCTGTGTGTATAGGGGTGGGGTTGTTTTTGCATGTGTGTCTGCTGCCCTCATGTGGATAGGTTGAGGCCTGGGTGTTGGCACATTGTTTGCCTGTATGTGTCTGTGCAGGTGTTAAATTTTAAATGGTGCATATTCACCTGAGTAGGGGCAAGAAAGAGGTTATTTGGTAGTCAGAATTAGGGTTGACTGCCATCATTTTATTCTGGTTTATCTGCAACATTCCAGTACCCATGACTTCAATATTCCTGCCACTGTATTCTGACACTGTGCCACTGATAGCTGCATATCGTTTTAATAAATCACAAAAAACTCATCTTAGATTCACTAGTCACTGAATAACATGTTATACATATCTACAGTGGAGTTGAATGCAGGAGTTTGACCCGCAATCTAAGAGTCTCCTGCTTATCTTCTGCATGAAAAAGCACTATATAAGTTCATTTAGCATCTTTTTAAGGATTATCACTTGGAGGCCATAACAACTTTTGTCAACAAAAATGCACCGTATAAGGAGCTGTCAGATGCCAAAAAGCAGACTTATATACTTGTAAGCAGGGCTGGCTCTAGGTTATTTGGTGTCCAAGGAAAGAGTGACACTTTACCCACTTTGAAGAATAAAATAACAATATTACAATAACCAACAACTTCAAATTACAAACAAATATGATGGGCGCAAAAGCGAAAACAAGCTGTACAATCAAAACTCAAACTCTAATATAACGGTTAATACACTTTTGAAAGGCAACAGCCAAAAATAATAAATATTATCCTGATAGATGAGCACCCATAGAATATTAAAATAACCAGTAATTCAAAATGCCCTGTAAATGTTGTTGGGGGAGTGCAAAGTTTAAAATCAGAATAAAACTCTGCAATCAAAAGCATAACTTAAATGTCAAACCTCACTTACAAACATTTAATTATTATTCTGCAGTTTTGCAACCTGTCCAGCAGATGACACCCCAGGCCTGTGTCACCTGTTGGCAATCAGACCAGCGTACCCATACTCACTAAATGCAAGACATTAGATTTGCTTTTATCCCTTTAATTTTGACTTTAAACTACCTCAACGGGTGTGTATTCCTTTAGTCATGTACACAAGAAAAACAATTTAAGGTCCGACCGCCATACACTTCAAAAAACACCAAAAATGAAGTAATTAAATTGTTTTTCTTGTTTCTTTTTTGTACATGACTAAAGTGATACATGCCCGCTGAGGTAGTTTAAACTGTATTTTTCGTACAAAACAAAAGGGATAAACTAAAGGGATAAACGTGTATTGACTATGGGCATGCTGATCTGACAGCCCTGCATGTAAACTTACTTGTTTCATATCGTATCAAAGGAGGAATCGATGGCTGCAGCACGTTTTTGATATGGTGAATTTCTGAATGAAGTGTGCGTAACTGCTCCATTCAATCTGTTTGATGAGATGTATTTCAATAAAACCGGATGGATTAAATGTGCATCCCTGATATTGTCTGGATTCCAAGTAGTTGAACTCTACAAACTGCAATACAATGAGAGGATATTTGAATGTGGTTCATCATGAATTTTTATGTTCATAGTTGTTATTTAAGGTTAATAAAAAATGAGTCAAACTGATAACTGTTCAAACTTGGAAAGAGAATGGTTAAACTTAATGCAAAAGCACTGAAAAAAAAAGTTAAAAAAGGAACCTGAAATAGTAGTCAATGAAATAAAAGCACTTTTATCACAAATAAATCAATTGAAATGAGAACAAAAGTAAATGTCTCCAAAATCTCTTTTGATTTGGACCATTCAATGCACTGTGTGAAGTAAACGTAAGAATTCAGATGCCTTTACTGATGCAGTAAAAGACTGAAAAGAGGAAAACTTTAATTCTACAAATGAAGTATCTGAACCTTCACCAATAATTAAAGTTGCAGGGAGAGCTTCCTCCCTAGCCCATTTAAGCACAGATGCTGGTTAGGCTAGAATTTTTAGAATTACAATAGAATTATACCTAGGGTGACTGTTTCTAAAGACATTTAACTCCTTACTTGCACATACACATGAGGGAAGCACTGCAAAGTTGTGTCAGATGTCAGACGTTTCCGGCAAACAGTTACTACTCGCTTGAGCCTGCCTTATTTACCTTCGGCCTAGGGTGTCCTGGTGCCAAGAGCACCAATGGACATCCATATGTTTGAACATGGTCATTATGTAGAATCCATGGCTTGCACTGAAATGCCACCCAGATTCAGATTTGGGGGTAATTCTTTCCACCATGGGCATGAGAATGAATCCAGCACTGCCACCCAGGCCCGCAAAGAAGGCCTGACTCTCTGCACTGCTGTTTGGCCGATAGGCAAAGACCACAGTCATAGACCTCCCCCTAACCCAAAGGCACGGGGATGTAACCCTCTCATCTAACCGCGTGGACTCAAACAGGAGAAGACTAAGCTTGGAAAGACAAGCAGACCAACCTCAGCCCTCAGCCTCTCCCCGTGGGCCCCATCAGAGCAGTCCACTCTCTGGGTTCTAGAGCTGAGGTTATGCAAGGAGGTGAGCCTGACTATTTCTAGCTGGTATTGCTTCACCTCCTGCATGAGCTCAGTTCTCAGAGCCAGGTGTAGCATTTCTGGCCTTCACTACTGACTGTTGCCCAGTCCTCTTAAAACTGGTCCCTCATGCTCCCTCCTATAGGTGGCAGGCCCACTGGGGGGCTGGCCTCATATCCCTCTTTTAAGCCCAGTGTGGATGAGGCTGACCATCAGGCGCCTGTCGACATATCCCAATCCCACGCCTGACACCAGGGTGAGATCCCAGCTCATCCTTGTCATCATAATGAGTTCTTTAAGAACTCTTTGTTTTATCTGTCACCCAGGGCCTTAGGAGACCCTACCAGGGACATTTAAGCCAATGACATAATCATTTTTGGGATTATCCATGCACTAAAGCTCCTCCATCAAGTTAAGGTGGCTTCTGTTTAATCCATTATAACAACAGCAGGAGTCCAATTTATTTTAAGAGACAGACAACATAAGCGACTGCAGAACATCAACATTAGATCAGGCCTAGAATGACGACTCAGCTTTAGCAACTTGTATCCAAACTTGTATGTCATGAATGATGGTTCACAGGTTATACAGCATTTTTTTTTTCTGTTTAAGAAAACAAAGCAAACTGAACTTGAAGCAGCTTATTTACTGGCATCTTCCAAGCTGGAAGGAAGGTTTCCCATAAGAGCAGGTATGTATATATGCAAAAGATCGGTATCTCAACTAGACAGTAAAGATATACATGCAGGGTTTTTGTTTAATTAACATCATAGAGCCTCACGTTTCAGAGAGCAGCGGCTGATACTGCTCGCTCAGATTTGTGTTTGTTCCTTCTGAATAATTAATGTAAAATCCAATATTTATTTAATTTTTGTAATATTTTGAAAGCGTATCCTCTGTCATGATCTCCAGGTCTTTTAGGTTGGAAGAACTCATTGCAATCACCCTTATCTTATGTTTCCACCAGTTGAAAATGTCATTTGTAATTATTAGTTTTACTGAGCATTTTTTTAATTCAGAAAAAAGATGGCAAAACTTACTGTAACCCTTACTTAATATCATGTCAAAGCTTAAAGAGGAAGGCCACAACAGATACTGCAATTACAAAATTTCATCATATATTTCTATATACCCGCATCAACTTTTGCATCAGCCTTTGTTAGTCGTTTAACAATATATTAGTACCGGACACACGCGGGAAACTACGCCAATATTGGGATATAATGTGTACATTTATCTTGTTGCTGTTTCTGCATGTTTTATGGGAGTGGAGGTGGTCAACTTTGCTAGATTTCTTTGAGCATCTGACATTTATACTGATACTGCATAGGGTTATTGGGTGCTTGACAGAGAGGAAAGCAATATAAAGTCTGGTCATTGTGTTAAAGGTTAAAAGAAAATCTGAATATTCAGAAAGTCTATAATTGTCCTTAATTGATCATAACATAAAACATTAATCTCAACCTAAAAAACTCACAAAAACAAAGACGGCAATTAGAAGATTTTTATTGATACAATATTTAAATATTTGGCGGTCAGACCTCAGCGAGAAATATACTTTGATTATAGGGATTAGCTAATGAATGAGGATAAATTCCCCCAGTGCTATAACAGGTGGTAGAACAGAATGGAGGTGCATCGCAGCTGGAATGAGGTGCAGGTTCATATGAAGCTCCATGTTGAGCAAGCATGGAGCGACAGTGGTTAGAAAAAACTCCTGTTTGGCATGAACCAGGCTCAACATGATTCAGTTTATTCAGTTGAATTTTCACCTAGGCTTCATTACAAATATTAATATCAATTCAATTGTATTATCTTAGACAATGCTCAGGAAAAATGTCAGCCATTCGGTTGTTAATTTCAGCCATTACATTTATAGATTCAGAATTGAGCATGGATAAATTGCATGGACCGATGCTCCCTTGTGTCAACGGTTCAGGCTTGTGATGGTGTATCAAATTGGGTATATTTGCTCACACTTTGTTCCCCAGAGTGTCAACTGGGCATCAGTTAAACACCGGGGACATCCAGAGTAACTAAACCTGCCCATCCTTTCATGAGAAGCATGCACATATCTTCTGTTGACTACGTCAAAGAATGAAACTTGTCACAATTCTAAAAACAGCTCAAATTGTTTTCCTGAAAATGATAAATTTCAATGACCTTTATAGCTACCATATTTTAACCAGCTGGAATGATTTTGACGAATCTTAGAATTATATGAGTCTTTACACCTAAATAACAAAAAACACATATTGATTGTTGATTTCCCCCCAGGTGTAGAGAAAAACCTTCATCGTCACTAAGAAGCGAGTAGACATACCATTCTCTTTCATTTTCATTCCAAGCAACATAAAAACAAAACAGCTTGAGAAAAACAGGATAGCAGGTTGCAAAGGAAGAGTTACAACACAAGATGTCTAATGTTTAACATGGTTGTTATTTTAAACGGCACAGTGACATCCTTAACAGCCAGTACTAGTGGTGTGGAGGCCATTTTGCAACTCTTTGGTTTTATAAAATCTACAATTAGCAATTTAGTCTTGAAACATTAAGCATTTAGCTCATCTGTTGAAACATTGATCTTTGATATTCCTAATTTTTTGAGTTGTTTCAATTGTATGCTCAGCTTGTTGTGAATTTTGCCATAATAAATCAGAATTTCAGAAAAATGAGAAGATATTCTCATTTCAAGATATAAATATGAAGTCTTACTTTAAAGGCACACCACGACAGGCAAGCTGACAGCTTTGCTAGTGCCTGGGACAACACAGAGTTTTTGGCACCCCCCTCTACATATAGAAAGACCCTGGGTCGGGAATCGAAAACCAGAACCTTGTTGCTGCAAGGCAACAGTGCTAGAAACTGTTTGGAGAGCTATCCTCGCAAAGCATTATGGGATCTGCTGTCACAGCGGCCCACTGTCGCCATAGGCTGTCGCTTTCCGACAGCAGCAACTAATAACAAAAAATGACGCAGGCACTGTTCAGTGGAGGAGAAGTTACATGACCAACAGAGAGCAAAAAGCAGTGATCATCTGTCCGAACGGTCAGTTAACTGATTTTACTCATAAAGTCCACTATAGTGATGGAGCGATTCATGCAGCTTATGGACTCATGCATGCTCTTGCATGCATTTAATAGGTGTTCCCTCTTCAGAGCGGGTACAGGGTTATACATTTTTTGTTTTAAAGAGGAGAGGTGGGTCTTTAAAAAAATTCGCGAAAATCCTCCACAATACCTGTAAGCAAAATACTGTTAAGTTTTAGTCTTTTTTCTTGCAGTTTTGATCAATCTTGCTTATAGCAAATAAAAACCCAAAATTCAGCTTCCCAGAAAAAAAATGTAAGAACTAATGGTGTCAGATCTTAACATGAGTCTCTAAAAGGTCTCTTAGTCTGGATTGGTAGGCTATACACCTTAGCGATGACTGCTAACTTGTCAGATGTCTGGAGGACTGACTCTGAGGCACTGATTTTGCAAAAATTCATAGACTTAGACTTCCTTTATTGTCATTATGTGGCCTTAAGCAGTCTGATGGCCAGGGGGAAGAAACTGTTCAGTAGTCTGGCCATTCTGCAGAAGATGCTGCGGAACCTTTTGCCAGACGGAAAAAGACTCCATAGTTGGGGTCGGAGAAAGGTGATTATGCAGGAAATTTGCATGATCTTGCAACATATCAATTGTTTAACATCACATATCATATTGCACTGTGTCGTTTTGCAGACACTTTGGAGCTGATTTTATTTTTCCTGACCACACAGGTTAGTAATTCAGTTTGTGGCTGAATAATGGCAGAAACTCCCCTGAGTGAATGGAAAACTCCTCTATTCGGCGTTTGTCAAGATGTCAATACTTGTAAGAGCTAAGTTGCTTTTCTAATTTTTTTGCTCCATTTAAATCAAACAGATAACTTTATTAATCTGAAACGCTGCTGCCTTCTACAGGTTGCTATGGCTTCTGGTGCTGCAGCTGCCTTGCCTGCACTGTTTCAAGAAGATTTAAACAGAGCTTTTGTCTGCCAATATGTGACATACTGAGTCCTGCTATATTTACACCCATGGGGATTCCCATTTTTGTTCCCCCAGCAGCATTGACTCTGAGGGCATCCATTCGGAACAGATATGGAATAAAGGTATGGGTCAGTTCAAAATCAAATAAAACTATTTAAAGGAAAAGTGCAAAGTAAAAAAACTGTTTTGATGTTTTTGTTTTCAGGGTACAGCCATCAATGACATTGTAACATCTTGTTTTTGTGTCTGGTGCTCCTGGTGTCAGATGGATCGTGAGCTAAAGGAAAGAAATAGAGCTCCTGCTGTCATTAACACAAGGCCCAAAAGTGTTGTCAATGTTCAGGTTAATCCAGTCATGAAGGTTGATGAAAACCCTGAATCACAACATGATAGTTTTGGGGCTCCGTATGTTAACCCAGAACCTGCTCCACCTCCTAACAGTTTTTGAGGCTCAGTATCTTAATCCAAATACACCTCAATATTCTCGTTATTCTATGAGCAATTAAAAACTGGCCAGACAGATCTGCAGAACTTGGGTTTCATCGATGATGTTTTTTCTTTTTCTGGAAAAGCCAATTTATATGGAAGAGGATTAGGGCCACTGAAAAAAAAAAAAGTTAGCGGATTTTTAAATTTTATTTCAGTTTAGTATGGGAAAAAAGTCAGAAGAATTCTGCCTTTTTTTCCTCAGAATTCTGACTTTTTTCTCAAACTTCTCACTGAATTCTGACAATAAAAAATTCTGAATTCTTAGATTAAAGTCAGAATTCTGAAAAAAAGGCAGAATTCTGAGAAAAAAGTCAGAATTGTGAGAAAAAGTCAGAATTCTGACTTTTTTCTAAAAATTCTGACAATAAAAAAGTCAGAATCCTTAGATTAAAGTCAGAATTGTGAGATTAAAGTCAGAATTCTGAGAAAAAAGTCAATTCTGAGAAAAAAAAAAGTCAGAATTCTGAGAAAAAAAGTCAGAATTCTGACTTTTTTCTAAAAATTCTGACAATAAAAAAGTCAGAATCCTTAGATTAAAGTCAGAATTGTGAGATTAAAGTCAGAATTCTGAGAAAAAAGTCAATTCTGAGAAAAAAAAGTCAGAATTCTGACTTTTTTCCCATACTAAACTGAAATAGAATTTAAAAATCAGTTAACTTTCTTTATTTGCAGTGGCCCTAATCCTCTTCCGTAAATTCATCATCGACACTTCAAAAAAAAATATAAAAAATTAGAGAGAGATTTGAATTAAATTTTGAGTTAATATGCATATTTACCTTATTATAATTGCTGTATAATGACTTGATTTATTTAAGATTAAAAAGTAATGAATCACATCAAGAAATAAAAAAAGAATAACCTCAAAATATGGATGACCTTCTCATTCTTTTGTCTCTGACTAAAATTTACAAGGCTGATTATGTTTTTCTTTCATTATTTGAAAAGCCATTTAGGGATTCAGTTGAAAAAGACACATTTATGTGAAAACTTTATTTGAAAAAGTGACATTTTAAGGATTTGTGCCTGATTAATTTTATATTCATGGATTTCAGCTCTTGATATTTCTTTATAGAAACTAGATGGTGGAGGGAGGGAGCGAGGGATATCTGAGTGTTCCAGTTATCACAGGGATCACCCTGCATTCACCTTCCACTTCCTTTCTGGCTCTTCTTTCAGCCATCGATATTTCTCTAGCTTATGTCTCATCTTCATGATGTTACCATTACTCTGTATTGCTACATCGATCACTTCTCCCTTCTTCCTTTGCTTGTACATCACCAGTTTATCTGTCTGTATCTGGAAGTCCCTCACAAGCTCAGTCAGACTAGCTCAGTCATTTTCACCTGTAGAGGCATATGTCATTATGACCTTGGGACTTTTATGTCATATAGTCAGTACAGATGTTTCTGTATACTATGGCGGCCGCTTGGTTATGGCGTTCCATATGGGCCCTACCCTCTAGCATCTTGCACTCTGCTATTTTGTGCTGGACTGTTTCAGGTGCATTTCTACAAAACCTGCAACTGGGTCCTGTGTGGTGTGGTAATCCCAGCCTCTATCAATCCTGTCATCAGCTGGTTCCTTTGCTGTGATGGTTAGTACCACTGTTCTGTCTTTCAATCCAGCCACAGATAGGATGTTTTAATATCATCTCCTCCTTTTGTCTGCTGGTGAACATGCTGTGCATGGGCCTGTTCTTCAATGAAGGTTCCTGTTCTTGTTTCCCTTCTCTCTTGGATTCAATCTGCCTGAGGTATTTGCTCAGGCAGATGGTCAATGATGGTCATCTTTTTAATGTACTCTTGGATCTCATTAAAGAAAGTGGGTTGGGCACTTAAAAGGGCTCAGCCTCCTTTCCTATCAGGGTGCTAGCCTTGGGGTGTAACCCTCCTTATTTTTATCAAACCTTTCTTAAAGCATTTACAAATAATAAGTCAGAATGCATGAAAATTACACTGGTAAAATGTTTACCAATATAAACATCTTAGACATCGTTAAAATACTTAGATTCTCACCAATGCAACCACCTAGTTCATTATATAGACATAGCAAATGTACCATGACAAAGCAGCCACAACAAGCTTGCATGTCTTTATAACTGCTGTTCAAAAAAAGACAGATTATTTTCGAGAATAATAAAAACTACTTTGAGTCTTGTTTGAACTGATGTAGCTTGGACTTGATGCAGCTTGGGTGTTTTACTAACCCAACTTTCATGTATATATTCAGAAACTAGGTGTTAGGTTTCAAATAATGTATCACGCATGTAATTTGGGCTTACAGTTCCTAAGTTACTTGCTTTTCATTTGGGTATGCAAAATAGGCGAGAATCTCCCCAAATGAGGTGGATGTTAAGAGGTTAATTATCCCAGCAGGGTATGTGATGACTGGCAGGGCATAGGTGTTGATTAACCGGATCATCTTCTTGCCATTACGCTGACTCATCAGGATTTATTGTTACTTGCTCTCTGCAGGTACTTGGTGGTTACAGCTTTCCTAGCAGCCTTCTTATGGTTCTCAGTTGCCAGTGGGATTCCAAGGTACTTGTAGATGTGCTCAGTGTCTGCAAAGTTGCCTTCTGGTAGTTCAATTCCCTCAATTCTGACAAATCTTCTCATCTTTGTTACCATCTGACTATGCTTTTCCTTTCCAAATGAAATTCCGATGTCTTCTCTGTACTCCCTGGGGGTGTCAAACAGTGAATCTATGTCTCATTCACTCCTGTCGCCCATGTAGAGGAGGTTTGCTCCATTCTGTAATCAGTAGATATAGCCAGTCTTAATAATGATCTGACGGAGGAGGCCCTGGCCTTTGGAGAACAGCAATAGGGACAAAGCCTCTCTTTGGCAAATGCTGCACTTGATGGTGACTTGAGCTATTGGCTTGTAATTGGCTTGTGGAGGGGATGATGATTTCTGTACCATCTGCATTTTACCTCTATGATCTCTAAGTGTGATAGAAGTTGATTCTTGCAGATGTTGAAACACTGAGCAACATGTGGTTTTGATGTCCATCTGGATGGTGGGCGTCCCCTAAGAGGCTCCTGTGCTGCAGACTACCTGATTAGACACTTGACCCTTCTGTCTCACAAACTGTGTTCTGTTGGTTACGTAGTCTTTGATTCAGGCGATTATTGATGGCTCCACCTGAGTCTTCAAAGAACATGATCCTCACAGAGCTGTCTACCTTTTCTAAATAACAATGGGTTGTTGAAGCAGGTGTATGATACATCTTCAACTCAATTCCATGGCAACAAGCAAACTGCAGGGGGTCCTTAGATTGCTTGTTCAGGTTGACCAACACGAGTCTTTGTAGGACTTTCATGACGTAAGATGTCACAGCAACAGGTCTGTAATCATTGAGGACTGTTGACTGAGTTTTATTTGGGTAGTGAAACAAGGCAGGAGGTCTTTCACATTACTGGAACATCTCCTGGGTCAGACTAAGGTGGATGAGGTGCTGTAGAATCCCACAGTGCTGCTTTGCACAGACCTTCAGGCCTGACACCATTTGGGCGTGGTGCCTTATTGCAATCAGTCAGGCCAGTTGCCACTTTACTTTATTTCTACTGACAAACAGTTAGGAAAGTGAAGGGAAAAGCCACATCTTATGATTTGGCTAAAACAAATGCATGGGAGGGAAAGGGTTTTATTTAAGAACATCTGTAGATCCAGCAAGGATTTTGCTACGGGAACATCTTAAAATCCTAGACCTCCATACCAGACCCAAACTGACAAAAGTAATACTTATTTTCAATGAATCAACCACATGAATTTTTTTATATAGATGAGATCAAAATAGTGATGTTTTGGGTATGATGCAGATACCAATGTTAGCTGCAATTAACATATCATGTTGCTTTTGCAGTTTTCAGCTCCACTCTGGGTGAGTTAATGAATGTTGATCTTGGACTCGTACCTTAAAACAATTCCTTGTAGTTTTAGCATACATTATAAATAGTCTAAAGATTTATTTTCCTTAGTTTTACGCGAACATTTTTCATTGTCAAAAAAAATGTAGTTGAACTTTGTTTTTTTAAGAGATACTGATTAATTGTCAAAAAAGAAAGTCAAATTTACTTTTTTTTAATAAACAAAAAATCTATTTAATTTTCAACATTTGTCTACAATCCACGGATCTTCTTTCCAGACAAAAACTGCTTCCAGAACGAGGAGCCTTTCACCAAAACCATAAAGCTGGGCGTGCCTGCCTTCACAAAAAACCTGTTAAAGAGACCGGATAACCAGGAAGTTAGTTCCAGGAAACATAAACACTCATGGGTTAAAATATGAACAGCAAATCACTGACAACCCGTAGGTTTAATTATCAGGGTGTTCATAAACCATTAACTGATGATGCAGAAATGAACCAATTAGACCTTTTATGACTGTTTATCAAGTTCTTTCTGATGTGCTGCTGCTGATTCTATAGTAAATGGAGTTTAAGGAAAAAACTAAACAAAAAAGTTTTTTTTTTTTTTTTTTAGAAATAATAATCCAAGATAAATAAATGAAAGAATAAAAGGTTTTCGCATATCATTAATTTGATTTTTATCAAATAAAAAAATAAAATTAAAATTAAAAAAAGCTGACTTAAGCTTAGAAACACTTTTTTTAACCCAACCAGCTGCAGTAACTTCCATGTTATTTGAAAGGTAACAGTGAGTCAAATCAGACACTGGCTTTTTTCCACCACCTCCAAACATGTATTGGTTTAGATTCTCTAAAGGAGGTTATACAGAATGTTTAAGGTTAGTTTTTGAAGAAACAGGGAAATCCTACATTTTCATTAGACAAATTCAAAAATTACTTTCTTGCCATAGTTGACTCATAGTGAGTATATTTACTAATACTTTTTGTTCTCATTTACTAAACACGCCATTTATTTGTCTAAGCCAGGCATCCCCATAATCGGTCCTCTAGGGCCGCTGTCCTGCAGGTTTTAGAGGTTTTTCTGCTTCAGCACAGCTGATTCTCATGATTGCAGTTCAGCAAAAGCCTGTTAATCATCTATCAATGGAAATCAGCTGTGCTGAAGCAGGGAAACCTTTATAAACTGCAGGACAGCGGCCCTCAAGGACCGACTTTGGGGATGCCTGATCTAAGAACACATCTGACTTGTACGCTAGAGACTGACATTTTTTCGGGAATCCCACGGGTC